CGGGGCTGAAACGCAGTAATCAGTACAGTGACTATGCCTTATTCATTTGTGCATTCACGGTTTGTTTTTTCCCACAATTAATAATCACAGTCTTACCATTTATTTGACCAGAGTAAATTCAGGTATTTATAGTAAGGTTACATCATTCTAATGTCACATAGGTGAGCACAGTCATATTTTATGACAGTCACACAAATACTTTCCAAACATTTCTAGGACTCAGTTTGCTGTTCTTGCAGAATATAGCTCCTGACTGGCGCTAAAGCTTCAACAAGCTTCCATGCACTAAAATAAGTAGTTTTTATTTCACAATTCAAAAGGAAAAAATGGGGCCGGGGATATAGCTCAGTGGCACATCCCTTGTCTGGCAAGTGCGAGGGTGAGTTCCATTCCCGGAACTAGTGGCGCACGCCTGTAATCCCAGCACTCGGGCAGGTGGGGCAGGAGGATCCACCAGACCGGGCTACAAAGGGAGCTCAAGGCCAGCCTGAATTCCATAGCGAGACCCTGGCTCAAAAAGAAAAAAAGAATTCCCGGAGCTTAAAAGAAAAGTATACATGAAAAAACTGTTCTACCTGTAATCATAGTATAAATTTTAAGAGTAAACTTAGGGGCTGGGGATTTAGCTCAGCGACACAGCACCTGCCTGGCAAGCGCAAGGTTGTGAATTTGATTCCCGGTACTAGAAAAAAACCAAACAAACAAGAAAACGAAAAAAAAAAAAAAAAGAGTAAATTTAAACTTCCATTTAGATACTCTGTACTTGTTATTGTAGATAGAGTTTTCCTTCTAATGTTTATTTCTCATCTGTCTGCTTAATGCTTACTTAGACTTATTTATTAATAGATGTATGACCAAAGTTGTGTTTAGCACAATCCTTTAAGACAATTCTTGCTAAAATTGAAGACAACACACAATTACAAATAGAGTACAAGTGATCGGGACGCCCCATTGTCAGCCTCCCTATTACCTTGACCACTTTGTTAAAGTAAGAGAAAATGCCTATTTGTTTCCAGATTTCCGAGTATGGAAAAATTATTTTGTTCGCATCTTTTCTTTCCTCTTACCTTTCAACAGGAGTCCGGAAGCAATGAAAGCAGCTGCGGAAGAAGTGAGTAAGGCGTTAGAGAGTTCCGGGCAACTCGGCGTTGGAGGCAGACCTGTTCGTTTGAATCAGATGCAGCTGAACGCCTTGCCAGTACTAGGTGCCCTTACTTTCCCACATTTCATTTACATTCCTGTCAATAACAACCCTCAAATACATTACACACTTACTGATTTCAGGAAATTACGCTAGGTATTTCCTGTGATTTGGCTGTATTTATCCTGGCAGAGATCCTGTAACTAAGGACTGTTACTATTTCTGTATACCAAGTAAGGAAACAGCCACCCAGAGGTTAAGCTGCCTGGGAGCAGTGGAGGAACCTCTGGCAGCATCAGTGTGGGACTCTCGATTACCTGCTGCCAACCACCACACTGCGCGCTGTCTCCCTCACCACTGACTTACAGTTAGAAGGAGCACACAGTTTATTTTCACGAAGCCGGGCGGGAGTAGGATGTATCATCAGCCTCACTTAGTTGCTAGGTTGGGTGGTGGGACGGAAGGTTGTTTGACTTTTTGCTTTTCTCTATTTTATAGGAATACAAACATACTGTATGTTTGTAGTAAGAATCTTCTTTTTTAATAAATTTTCTATAAAGGAAAGAACCCAACCCATGCTTTTAGGGGCAAACTATCTTATTGGAAGGGACGGGTCTTTCCCAAGAAGTAGGGTTGTGGTCTGACCTGTGAGGCTTCAGACGTGTTACTTCTCTTCCGGGACTTCACTTGTCTCACATGTAGGTGGGTGGGGTCCTGACCTGTGATTTTGCACACAACCCTATGGTGAACACCTGAAAAAATAACAGTCAAAGAATAGAGGCTGCAGAGTCAGGCTGGACGTCTCATGAGATCTCTATATTCTCATGCTGTTTTTGGTTTTTGTTTCTGTTTTTGTTTCCCTGTTTTTTTGGGGGGGTCTCTTTATGCCTTTACTCATCATCAGGGCATTACTATACAGCATTGGATACTGTACAGATAAAAATGAGTGCTTGTTAATACTAAATTGAAGCTGCATGAAACACCCTGAAAATCATTTCTGAATAAAAGTGATATCAGTACATTAGATCTCAAAATTGGTAAACATTGTCTGATTCACATAAAAATTAGCTACTGATTTTTCCAATTTTCCAGCTATTTAATATCATATGGAAATGAGATCATTGCCAGGCATGGATGCATGCCTGTAATCCCAGAACTCAGGAGGCTGAGGCAAGAGGATCACTGTGAGTTTGAGGCTAGCCTGGGCTATATAATGAGTTTGAGATTAGTCTGAACTACATAGTGAGACCTTGTCTTAAAAAAAAAAAAAAACAAAAACCAAAAGAAGTTAAAGATTATTTTGAAGTAAAATGAAGGAAGTGTAGTTCCCATTGACATACAAGATCGTATGTTTATCAATTATTATTAACTTAGATGATCAATTAAAAACATGATCAGACATAGTTGAATCATTCATAACAGTATAATGGTAACAGGAAGAAAGTTTAGGAAGTTTATATCTGGCCAGCTTCTATTTTCTATTAATCTTTGTGGTATAAGCTGCCAGAAGTATTTCAGACACTTTATTATGTGACCTTGAAATAATTAAATTGTTCTCCTTTGCATCTTCCTTTGAATTTTTTCATTTTTTCTTCTTTTTCTCCTTTCTTTTAAAACGTTTAGATAGTATCATCAAAGAGGCTCTGAGGCTTTCCAGTGCCTCCCTGAACATCAGGACGGCTAAGGAAGATTTCATTTTGCACCTCGAGGATGGTTCCTACAACATCCGAAAAGATGACATCATAGCTCTTTATCCACAGTTAATGCATTTAGATCCAGAAATCTACCCAGACCCTTTGGTAAGTGACTGCTGGCCAAAAAGTTTACTATCCAGGTGATATCAACTGAGTTCTAAATAAGAAGGGCATTTATAGTTGTAGAATTTATTTGATTGATCATTGAGGTCATAGACGTTGTCCCCTTAATTATGTCAAATATTCAAATATTTGAGAAAATTTGGATAGAGGTCTGAATTTTTAATTTTTAGTTCTAAGATTTGTTATCCCATTGTCTCCACTATAATAGATTTGCAGTCATCAAATAAACCTGCCTCCTTACTTTTTCCTTTAAAAGTACCTGCTGTCAAATCCATGAAACTGGAGTTTAGTATATTGACTTTCGGTTTCTGAATGGGACCATTCTTGGTAGTTCTCCTGACTGAGGAACTCATCACCGGGCAGAAGAGAAGGTACCCGAAAGCTTTCTTGGTCCACCAGTTCTCCTTAAGCTCCTATCCCTTGTTGCTGTTGCATTCAGTGTAGGATATTTACTATATCACTGATGGAGTGGATTAAAAAAGAAAATTACTCTTGCAGCTCCCAGGTCAAGAAGTAGGTAAATTCCTTTCAAAATAGCTTATAGACTTGTTTTCTTTGTATTTGTATTGCAGACTTTTAAATACGATCGATACCTAGATGAAAACAGGAAAACAAAGACCACCTTCTACAGCAATGGAATCAAGTTAAAGTACTACTACATGCCTTTTGGATCAGGAGCTACAATATGTCCTGGAAGATTATTCGCTGTCCAAGAAATCAAGCAATTTTTGATCCTGATGCTTTTGTATTTTGAACTGGAGCTTGTGGAGAGCCAAGTTAAATGTCCTCCTTTGGACCAGTCCCGTGCAGGCTTGGGCATTTTACCACCATTAAATGACATTGAGTTTAAATATAAACTCAAATGTGTTTCAACATGTGGTTAGAAAGAGGCACTAGGGGATGTTACGGGGCTGCGGTGCACCATCACCGCGCAGTCCTTTGGACACACATGTCGAGGTGAGGAAGGGGCTCGGCATGCTCAGTTCTGCCCAGTGATGTTTGCTCGCTCATCTAGCATTTCATTCCAGATGCTGTCTCAGGCTGTGCTGGTGAAAGCACGCATTTTCAGGAGCACAAAAATTTGTTCTTACTTGCATAAGTTAGTAGCTGTTCTTATGCCCAAGGACTGAAATTTGTTACTTTCAGAGAAAAATGCATTTTTTCTCAAAATGAAGATATTCTAAATGGCAAATTTTTTTCCTAAGGAAATTTATAAGATCACTCAATTATGAAAGAGGTTCAAATTCAATTATGAAAAAGGTTCAAATTCACGTTTTAGTGGAAAGGCATTATTTTTGACTAAATGAGGTTCTTCAGGAATGAACATATATTATCAAAGATATTTTAAAGGATTAAATTTTACCTTTTATTAAATTTTTTAAAAATTAGGACTTGTTGAATGATGCTCTTGGTGTGTGCAGAAAATACTAAAGGTGGTCTTGATTTTTTCCCTTTATTTTTTAATTTATTGTTGCTAGAAATTGTTACACCAGCTTCAGCTGTTTCATTTGTACCTTGATTCCATATTAGTAGAAGTTTTTTTCAAAGACTAAAAATGCACTTTTTCTGTCATTGGTAAATATGCATCAGTGAAAAGAATGTAGCTCTTCTGTGATACCTTTTAAAATTAAAACTGGATGAAAATGACCATTTAAAAGCTTTGGTTATGAAACACACAGAATTTATTCAGTGCAGCTTGATGTTACTCTTTATTTAAGTATCTTATTTTCAAACAGCTGGCAGTTAAGGAAAACTAATTAAGACTATATGATAGTGTTTAAATGCCATGTATAATAGTGCTTTGATAAAGTATTTTAAGTGTTAGAGTTATCAGCTTTGCTATTTTTATTAATATTTCATGTGTATTTATATGTAAATTATATTTAACCTTTTTCTTGTACTATGTATATTAAGAAAATATTGTAACATTTGGTAATCTTGAAATTATTCCTTTGAGAGATAGAAGTATGCATGTGTGTGTTTTAAATCCTGACATGTTCAGAATACTTACATAACATTCACCTACTGATAAGATTCAAAAATTCATTCCAAATATTTACATTTCCAAATACTTCAGAAATATTTAGGCTGGGCATGGTGGTGCACAGCTGTAATACCCGCACTCAGGAGGCAGGAGGTGGCTGTGAATTTGAGGCCAGCTTGGGCTACATAGTGAGTTCAAAGCCAGACTGAACTCTATAGCGAGACCCTGCCACTATTCAAAGTACTAATTCCCTCAAAAATTTCTCTCATGGCACATAAAATTCACCTAAATTTTTTTTTGTGGTGCTGGGAATTGAACCCAGACCTGTGTATATGGCAGGCAGGTATTCTACCATTGAGCTACATACTCAGCTGTCACTTAAAAAATTGTTTTTAGTATTGCTATTTAGTACTACCATGATATTATCTCGTATGTAGGTTACTTTTCATATCAAGAAAATCAGGTTCACTAACATAAGGGTCAAGACCAATAAAATTCTGTTTTTAGCAACCTGTTATTAACTGAATTTCTAATGCAGTTTTCTAATAAACTTTACCTCAGTGCATTCATATATCCTTGTGTATCTATTCTTGGATAACAGAGGTTGACAGTTGATCACCGGTTGACCAAAAGTGCTCCTTTCCCTGTTTTTATATAGCTTGAAAGCTAACAATGGTTTTTACCTTACTAAATAGTTAGAAAAAACTCAAAAGCAGAGTAAGGCTCCATGGCATGAGAAAAGTACATGAAGTGCAGGTTTGCACATACATAATTAAAGTTTTCTTGGAACACAACTTGCCCAGCAGTCTGCACCATTCTCTATGTGTGATCTTGGTACCTCACGGCAAGGCTTAGCTGAAACAGAGACTGCATAGATGCAGAGCAAAATATATTTAAAATCTGGTCCTTCCTGAAAACAGTTCCCAACACCTATTGTATATCAATCGCCAAACCTATTTTTATTTTAATTTTTTTAACTTCTGAAAATGCAGTAGTAAATGAATTTTTGAAAAGCATGCGAAGAGTAAGTATGTAAAAAGCTATGAATACTACTTTATTTTAACTATAGAGAAGACTAAATATTCCAATTAGGAAAGTTATCTTTATCTAAAATTGACTCTTATGTTGAAAACAAAATTTTAGTAATGTGTTGTAAAATCAAATAGACTTGGAGGAGTTTAATGATAAATTTATTCAGTATTACTGTGGCCTAGCTGTACACTCAACACATCACATGTTTCTTCATTGTGAAGCTCATGTTACTATTACCTCTATATCACAGAGGAAGGAAATGGGACTACAGAAAAGTTTGTCACTGGCCCTAAGTCACAATGCTGTGACTAAGGGAAGAATATTAGAATCCAAGTATTGCTCTTCTTAGGGTCAAGGTCAGATATTTTACAGGCAGTGCAATTAAGGTTATAGCTTTGGTCTCCTTAGTAGGTAATGGATACAACTTCTCCCGCGTGCCTTCTTTGTCACGTGTTGGTTGATACTAATTCACAGGATCAGATCTATATAACACGAGGACAAGATAGCAGCATGCATGCTTCCTGGACCCTCATAGACTATTGAAATTCATCTAGTCTAAGTTCTCATTTTAGTTAGAAACTGATATTCGGTGAAAAAAAAAAGTGCTCTGTAATTTTCTGTGCAAACCTTTAAACAAATATCACTTGTTTTTCACCAAATATTCAGAGTTGACCCCTTCTCACCCCATGTGACATTTGGCAAGATTCACATTGAGAGGAGGTTAAAGAACAGACTGACATGCCATTTTCGTCTGGAGTCACCCATTGCTCATTTATTGTGACCACATTTGGTTTCACTCATGTGGTTCAAAGGGTAATTTTAGTTAGGGTTTTCACTTGTAATTTATTTTCCTTTTGGAGTTTTCATCTCTGGCTTCTCTGATCCTTTGGAGAAGAGGAAAGGGTAAAAAGTACCAAGAGGAAAGTGATGGAGCTTTGATTATCTTTTCTCCACTATCATCAACTAAATATCTCAATGTGAACTGTTTTTTACTCCTCTGGCAAAAATAATGAAATTCATTTAAACTTTGCTTAAAGAAGAATCTTGTTTTAAAATATGAAAAAATATATGTGTAGGGAAATATACACTGGAAGATATTTTTGTTTACTTTTTCTATGAGTGTGCTAGTGAGAAAACTGTTAGGAGAAAGGTCAGGGACCTTCAGTAATTATAGGCTCCAGGGCACGTGGTGCTCCAGGTACTGGGTGTGTACGACAAGGACCATCTGGATTTCCCCGAGGAGGAAGGGCCGTTGATCCAAGAGTACTTCAGCCACTGAAACATGACCATAATGCAGAGTTAGTAGAAACCTGATTTTTCAGAAACCTGGTTGTGTTTTTAATTCATCGTGTTTTTTAAAATGATTCCAAAGAATGCCTGTTCTCTCAGGAGAGTAATTTTATTTTATTCAACTCTACAGCCCATTAAAGGGCCTAGTTGGTGTCTTACACATGTTAGGATCTTACACAGTAGGAGCAAGAGCAGAATAAATGATTTATGTGGAGGCGTTCTGTGCTGTTTTTCTTAGTCCAAGCTCCACCAAGTTGCACATGCTTTGTTTGGTTGCTTTACTAGCAGAACTTTTTTGGCTTCTCTCTATTGATCTCCCGCCCTGTTAAAACATTGGGCAAGAGTTACATACACAGAGAACTAAGAACACAGATGGTTTATGCCTACACCGCGTGATAAGACAGTTTTACTATTTGCTGGAAAAAAGGAGAGGTGGCGAGAGCCTCAGCAATGTGAGGAACTAGCTGAGTAGGTTGCAGATGGATCTCAGAGACAGAGAAGTAGGTCAGGACAGTGCATTCACAAGATGGAAGTGGAGCAGAGGCCTGGCGGGAGTAAGACAGAAACCTCTTTGTCATTAATCTCCGAATACCCTACCTACTCTTTACTTTGTTATTAAGCAAAGCTTCAGAACTGTTCAGCCTGCTGAGGGTCTAGACCTATTTTTCTATTTATAATAAGACTTTTGCTTTCTGATGTAATGAAGGAACCCACTCATTGTACAGTTTTCTAGGACTGGAGGATGGATCCATGATGTCGGTCACCTTTTACATTTCTTTTTAGTATAAGTAGGTCAAGCTTATTGACAAAGAGATAATATGAAGATTTTTAATTCCTTCCAGTTCAGTTATGTTTAGGCAGTACCCAGTTCATAAGTAGTACATCCTAAAGGTTCAGTTGTGAGTTCAATGTCTGAGGCTCAGAACCTATTTTACTGAAAAAAATGTGCTATAAATAGTAGTTATATTCCTGCAGCAGCAAAACAAAAACCCATTTAATCCATAATATTGCATAGTTAATACTCTTTTCAATAATTTTGCCATGAAAAAGGTGAAAATACTGTTGAGATATTTATATTTACATTGAGATATATTTAAAAAAAAACAGTTCATTTAATGTGTAGCTGAGGAAAATGAGTAGAAGGTTATTTCTCCTCTTACCTCAAAGCTTACCCATTTATTTCCTTTTCATTCAGCCGTGTGCTAGTGATGGGAAAGTAGAGGTGATAGGGCTAGGGCACCTTAAAGAATCTGAGAAAATAAGAAAGAAAAACACATTAGTTCACTAGTGCTGCAGTAACAAAACACCACAGACGAATGGCTAAAATATCAGAAATTTATTTCTTCACAGTTCTAGAGGCTGAAGTCCCACATCAAGCTGCTGTTAGGGTTAGTCTTTCCTGAGGCCTCCTCTCCTTGACTTGCACTGGTGCTTTCCCACAGTCTTTTCTCTCTGAGCATACCTGGTGTCTCCTCCTTCTCCTCCCTCTCCCCTCCACCTTTGTCCCCCTTCTCTCTCTCCCTCTTCTCATAAGAACTCCTGTCCTGTTAGATAAGAGTGCCACCTTTGTGACCTTGTTTAACCAGAAAGACTGGTTAAAGCCTGATATGACTTGCATGTGGTTTGTCAGCCAAAGTTCAAGTGCTGGAAGCTTGGTCCCTAGTGTGGCCGTGTTGAAGTGATGGAGACTTGCAGGGGTGGAATACTGAGGAATGGAAAGTAGTGAGGTCACTGGGGTCACTGACCTCAGAAAAGGTTGATGCTGCTCTCCTGGAGTGAGCAAATTCCTGGGAGAGTGGGGTGTTGTAAAAGAGCGAGCTTGGCCTACGCAGCTCCTGCTGTCCTGTCTCACTCTGTGGTCTCTCCTCCTTGCACGTGCTCCTCCATGCTGCCATCTGTCGTGAGTGCCTTGCCAAAGGCTAAACAAGTGAGATCGTTTAACCTTGGGCTTTCAGCCTCCAAAACTCTGAGTCAACTACTGTAAGTCTTTTCTTTACAAATTACCCAACATGAGATATTTTATTATAACAATAGAAATGCACTTATTCATAAACCCTACTTCTAACTATGGTCACATTCTGAGGTACAAGGGGTGAGGGCCTGAAAATATGGCTTTGAGGAGGGTACAGCTCAGCCCATAAAGAGTAAAGCAAGAAAGAGGAAGAAGAAAGTTAAAGAGGATGTGGCAGAATCAAAGTGCCACGTGAATAAGGTCTGGGGAACCAAGAAACTATAGGGAAGAAGAACGGGAAGCTTGGAGTGCAAGGACCCTGGATCGTCCTGATCTCCTGTGTGTGTTTGATGGGGAGGAGTTGGGAGAATGACTAAAGCCTCAATTCTCATCCCTGTGAATTTCACTTTTCCTTCAGGGTCCTCAATACCAAAGTCATCACACAAAGGATCCATGGAGAGAATTTTATCCCATTCTAAAGGTCTGGTTCAAAGTGAATTGTCCTTGGGTCCAGTGGACAGTCAGCTAGCCAAGATGGCTGTGCAGCCCCCAACAAGGCCATAGGCTCCCTCAGACATGGTGAGCAGAGAACCATGGCCAAGCGATTTCTCTTCTCCACTCGCAGACATCACGACCCAGAGAACTAGTCATAGAGCTCTGCCTGACTCACAGGGTAACTTCAGAGTGGCTGTGAGCTGGGACCAC